CCAGTTCGGGTTATCCAAGAAACCCTCTGCTTTCAGGTGCCTTTCCCCACGGGGCATCCTTTGCAGATCTGGGGGAGCTTGTGAACCCCAGCACTCATCTATGGAGGATGAGCTACAAGTGCCTGAAATCCAGCCAGGGAGCATCCCGAGCCAAGAACCCGGATGCTGACTACGAGAGCTTGCCAGCCCCACCAGGCACACCTTACCGTGTGAGGGTTGTCGTAGTAGACACCAATGGAGTAGAGCTTCGAAGAGATGCTGCAGCCGTCCGTGAAGAGCTGCCCAGATTCGCCATATGGGCCCACCCTGAACTTGTAGGCCAGCGTGATGTTGCTGACAGGCGGGGAGCCAGCACTCACAACCACCTCCGTGAAGAGCCCCGAGTAGACAACGAAACCGAAGACGGTCAGAAGCAGCAGCAAGACCAGTGCTGCGATCAGCCCGAGGAGCACCCAGTCGGACATGACAGACACCTGGGGCTCCACACTTCCTGATGCACTAGCGGCAAGAGGAGAGAAGAAAAAGGAGGGGAGTTAAGCTAGCACTCGGACAAGCAATTGCTCTCTACAGCTATCTATTTGCAGCAAAACACACCCACTTCCAATTCTTCTTATGCGTGAAGCTTAAAGACAGCGGAAACCCCCAGCAACCTCCTGTATATTAGTCCCACATTGCATCAGCCTGTTCCAATTGGTCACCAGGTACAAATTATACTGCTTCATTGCCTCTTGGGAATGAGGCAGTTATGGAGGGGGATGGAGAGGCACTGTCCCCATCTCCCCAGAACCAGCCACACTGTTCACATTCAGCCTTACACCCAGGAGAGACAGAAAACCACCCTGGGAGCCTGCATCACCCAACAGATCAACAGATACACAGCACTGCACTAGGGGTCAGGGCACCATAATCAAATAATTTACCATTTATAGATACCAGACCCGTCACTGTGACCAGGGCAGCCCCTCTGTCAGAAGTCTAGAAGCCCAGGCCTTTAACAACCTAAACGAGGACCACGCTGGTTCAGAGTTGCGCTCTGCATCTGGATCCAAGCAGAGAGGCTCGGAGAAAGCTGAAGACCCAGCTAGAAAAAGCATCCCCAACAAGTTCAGGTGCAATGAATTACCGCTATTCCTTTTAGCTGGCTTTTTTAACCCAAAAGAGTTTTTATAACCCCTACCAAGGCTTCCTGTTTTGTTTGCCATCTTTCCTCTCTCACGCTCACTGCGGGACACAGCAGCCTGGCGAACGCCTCCTGCTCATTTTCACTCACCGAGCGCAACCGCTCTGGGGAGTTGCAACCCAACCCAGCGCAGGAGACTTGTTTGTGTTTTATTCTCCCTTGAAACACAGCTCTGCTCACAAGGACTGGCTGCGATGCTCCACTGGGACTTTCACGGGAGCTAGGTTTGAAAGCAAAGGTTGAAGTAAACAATTCACCTTTACCTCCATGTTATAAATACACTTTGTCCAAAAAAAGCCATTCACGGAGGCTGCCGCTTGCTCAGCTTTACGGTGAGAGAAAAGCCACATCCTGGTAGGAACCACAGGCAGCTCTGCTCTGCTCGGCCCCGGCAAGCAGGGGTACACTGACACCAAGTCTCGCAGAGCCAGCGCCGCCCTCGACACCGTGGCAGCACCAGCCCAGGGACCAGATCGCACCTCGGCCCTACTCACCTGAAAAACCAGCTCAGCCCAGAAACCGTTCACAACATCTGACCCACAGGGGGGTGGGATCCGCCGCGCTGCAGCAGGAAAAAATAAAAATCGTTGCTTCCTTTCAAACTCACAAGGCCAAAAGCCAAACAGCGTCGCAGCAGAGCGGCCGGAAGGTCACCTGGGACCTGCTCCCCAGAGGGGGGTCCCGAGGAGCACTGCTCCTGCAGACCCCGCTCCCAACACTGCGGCCAGCGCGCGGGCACTGAGAACACGGGAACCGGACCGGAGCAGGGCGAACGTCCTGCGGCCACCCCC